GATAACTGCCCAAAGTTTATAAAAGCCTTAATTCTGTTCTTAATGTGCTTTTAGCTGCAATAGGTTTAGGGTCTGATGTACTACACTGAGCCAAAGAGAAAGAGCTTTATTAATCTTCTTCACTATTTTGAGCATCAGATTTAAAGTTATCCCTTGTAAAACTAAGCTTATAGTAGTTTTACAAAGCACTTGCTTTTTTTCCATGATTTTAATCATAAATGTCTTACAAAATATCCAAAGTGTAATGACAAAAATTTCATATATTCATAGACAAAATTTAGCAATTTACAAAAGTGTTGTCATTCCTATTGACATCCATAGCACATTCAGGATTTCCTTTGGATTTACAGATTTATACCCATACTATCAAGGTCCTATTACAATGAGGAATACACATACACATCACTAAATTAGAGATTTCCAGCAGCATAAACTTGTGTAAAGTTCAGCATTTTAGAAGGCTGTGTTACACACTTGAGGCACAGGAATACACTTAACAAATACAAGAACCAGCAACAATTAAGGTCATAGTTACACAAATTGTCATACATCTATATTAACATAAAGAAGAACAAAAGAGAGGAAAAGGTGAAAAGGATAAGAAAGGGAGAAAAAAAGATCAGAAGTTCAGTAGAGCTAGACAAAAAACAAAAAGATAATTAAGAAAGAAAGAAAAAGAGAAAGAAGGTAAGAAAAGAAAGGAAAACGCACATTCACGTATTCCTAAAATAAAAATTATAAGAGGAAAAAAAAGTTACTGAAAACAAATAATTTTTCAAAAAAAAGCAAAAAATCAAGACTAATAAAAGTTTTAGAAAAGGAAAAAAAAATTATATATATAAGGTACCAAAAAAAAAAGAAGAAGAAGAAGAAAAAAAAGTCCTTGAATTCTTTTTTGATTTTTTTGGGAGGGGTGGGAAGAATCCTGTATCTCCCTTTTGTCTGTAACCAGCCTCTTGTTGGAGTCTCTGGTCAGATTGAGGTCCTGTGGCTTGATTGGTTTCTTAAGTCAGTTTGTTCGAACAGGCAGAAAAATGCTCTGCTTTACCCAAGATTTTGAGATCCCCCTCCCAGGTTAGTTTAATGGGAGGGTGATCTGCTTTGAGAATCACAAAAGAGGGGGATGCAGTGATGAGGCTAGGTTCTGGGTAGAGTTGAGGCCTTTCAACAAACAGTAGCTTTTCCCTGGGGCCATTTTGTGAAAACCTCACAGAGCCCAGCCTGGAGCCTTTCTCAGGGTTTCTGTTTTTCAATTGATTGTGGAGGCTGCTAGAGGGAGGGGCAGCCTCTAGCTCTGGTTACCCAGTGAGGAAAGCCACTCCAATGGCTGGCGCCTGAGCTGGGTGACTTTTCCCTGGGTGGAGCTGAGTCTGGCAGGTCACTTCGCCGTTAAGTTCTTGTGACCTGCTAAATGACTCGTTTTATTCCAAGGCCTGAGTTGGAGCTGGCAGCTCCTCCGAGCTTTGTTGGTATCCAAGATGGAGATCACTGGTGCTGGGCGGGGAGGGGTAGCCTTCCCTCCTCTGCTCCCTGAGAAGGAGTGAGGATGTCGGGCTTCTACTCACGCCGAGTCTTGGATCCTGGGTCGTCTCTGGTCTGCAAACTGCAGGATGAAGATGTCCGCTCCTTTTCGGTTCTTGCTGGTGTTGAGTAGAATCCGCTCGCCCGCTGCGTCTGGCTCCTTTGTCCCGGACTCTCTGTGGCTCAGGTATGGCCGCGGCTGCAGTCGCCGCTGCTGCGATCCTGCCGCCGCTGCGGCGGCTGCTGGCAAGCGCTCAGATGTGTCTCCTTGCCTTGGCTTCTCCTCTCTTGCTTAACTCTCTGTTCTGTGATGGCACACTTGGTGTGATTCTCTGGCTTAAGACTGTTCACTGGAACTCTAAAACTGCTTTCTATGCGAGAGCTTGTTCAGATTCCAGTTTCTCCTCCGCCATCTTCCCCGACGCTGGATTCTGATTTTAGATCTCTCCCAAGTTAGATGGAAGAGTACTAGTGAACCCAAATAGACTTTTCTACTGCACAAATGCATCTCAAATATACAATGTTCTCAGCTCAGTGTATATTGTGTAAGATGAGAGCGCTTGGCTGCCATCTAGCATGCATTAACTTCATACACCCAGTACAATTTCTGCATAACACTTAAGTTAGTCCTGGCATAAATAGCCCACATATTTAGTATGGAGTTAAATTCTACTCATTTAATCTTAGGTTTTTATGAAGATACAAATCACTCTGACTTAGGCTCAGTGTTCTAGGTGTATGTCAGCAGAACACCTCCCACCTGATCTAAGCTTTGCCTACTACCTGGTAGTACCGGCTAGGCAGGTGAAATACCTCCCACCTCTGCCTCCTGTTTGAAGGGGCCATTTTCTCTCTCCTTTGTGGGAGACTTTGCCTTGTCAGCTCCACTGGCAATAAACCGTCTTTTGGCTCTATGTGACTTTGTCCATGTGGTCTTCTCTGTTTACTACCTTTCACTGGTGTTTGACTTGGATACTTTCCGCCATGGTACTTGTCCTCCTTCCCGGCTTTGGGGAAGTCCTACAAGCTGACCGGTCCTTAGCTAGCCCACAGTACTGCCAAGTTGGCTTCCTATTGACTGAACTTTTCCCCACCCAACAGCAGCAGATTTGTCCTCACTCTCCAGGTAAGTGACTATTTACAGTAAGCCCAGGGCTCAGAAACCAACTTCAGTAAGGCCACTGGGCCATTACAGAGAGAAAAATCTTGGTGCAATTTCCAAGCCCCACTCCAGGGGCCATAGGCTACCGGGCTGAAGGCCAAGGGACTCCACAACTCCAGGTGACCAACCCTTTTGCTGTTTCCTCCCTCCATGTTAGCTGAACAGAGGATCACTGAGGACACTTGGTATCTGACTCTGGATTCAGCTCTACAGGTTGCTCCCCGTGGGAGGGGCACAGTCTAACATCCCTCAGGAGTCTATTTGGGCTTGTTTTTTGAACAACCAAAAGACTAAGAGCTTGAATCAGACATGAACCCTTGGGAGCTTATATGCTAATATAATCAGCTTTGGCCCAATATTTGCTGGACCCCCAGGCTATGTGACCTGTTCATGGGACACTGGATCCCTATGCTATACAGGACCTATGTAACTTCTGCAAATATTCTGGCAAGTTAAAAGCAGCCAGCTACTTAGAGGACTTCTCTTTTCTGGGTTCTAAATTGTTTCTTTGGTGCTCATGCTCAGCTGGCCAACTTCTTTTAGCCATGAGGCTTCCATCATATGCCCAAACACCTCCTTTGAAGCTACAGATGAATTGCAGCCATTTTAGGCAAAGACATTATCAGCTCCCACTCCTGCGGAGGCGGGACTTCTAAAAAAGGAGGTGGTACTTCCATCAGAAAAGGCTGGACTTCCAACAGAGGAGGAGGAACTTCCTCTAGGGGGTGGTACTTCCTCCCACCCTCAACCCCCAGCTTTCTTCAACCCACCAATCACCAGAGCACTTGCACCCTCCAAGGTCTATGCCCTGCTCATTCAGCACCCCGTTTTCCTCATCAGGCCCCCTGATTCCCTGATGGCAGAAAGATGAGTCCAACCCAGCCTCGGTGAGCCAGCCGCCAGATGACCAACTCGGTGCCCTGGAGGCTGTTGTACATCTTGCAGCAATGCTGGGGCTGCCCTTACCCAGGTCCAGACTCTGGAGCCCACTCAAGGTCAGGTTCTGCCCCAGCTTCCCTTCTCCCCTCATGCGAGGTGACAGGGGCAGAAGGCATATTAGGTGTCCATGTTCCTTTTTCACTAACTGATGTATCCCAGATGGAAACACGCCTGGACTCTTTCTCTTCTAGTCCCACTACCTACATCACGGAGTAGCAGCTTGTTGTCCAGTCCTAGGAGGAATCCTAGCATGTTGTGTATGTAATCTTGAGTGGCACACTCCTGCTAGAGTGCACCACCTTCTCTGCACCCCGTATAGGTGCCTTAAGGGAGTTCCTTCAACAAAGCAGCCCCCTGAACCTGCCCAACACAATTTCTCACACAGCTTTCACAGACCTGAAATGTATGCCAAAAGGCCAACTCCAATAACAATGTGGGGAGCCACTTTTGCTTTTTTGTTTTTGCTCATGTGGTGCTGAGGAATCAAACTCAGGGCCTCAGGCATGCAAGGCAAGCACTCTACCACTGAGCCACCTTCCCAGCCCCCAATTTTCTTATTTCTTAAAAATTATCTTAAATGATCTTAAATTTACAAGAAAAACAAGAGAAATAAATGTTATTATTTTATTTATTCAAGAAAGAATATTGAACATATTACAGTATAGTTCACTGAAAAAGCTCAGATATGTGATATTCTATATATCCTCTATAATGCTGTATTCTTCTTTTAGAATTACAATTCTGTACCCCTTTTGGAAAGTGTTAGGCAATTACATATAGCTCCAATTGTTAACGTCACATTTTTTTCTTTTAGCAAAGATTCAATATTCAGAAAATTTTCTTGTTTTCTACACTTTTGACGATTGCCTAATCTCAATATCCCCATTGTGGCATTTTAATACTCAAGAAAATTTCCTATTGTTGGTCCAGTTTAGTACATTTTGAAAATGCAATTGGCTGCACAGCAATGTACCAACATATAATATGAAATGATTAATATCACCTATGTGATATTATATAAAAATGAAGTTTATGAATCAACATAAATTATTCCATTAATTACTATTAGTGCCATGAAATAGTAATATGAACTGAGGGCATTGCTGCCCACCTTTCTTTGTAAAGGATTGACTCCTTGTAATAACCCTCATCTGGGCCTCTTCCCAGGAACCTATGGATTCTTAATGTCTCTAGATATGAGCCACCTCCTAGCCACCTCGGCTCTGTCTGGCCTACAGTTAACCCTTTTTCCACCACCCCATTGCATTGAAACTCTCATGCCCATAGTATCTTTTGGAGGAGAGTAGCTCTTTTTTTGTGTGTGTGTGGGACATGGGGCTTGAATTCTGGGCCTGGGCGCTGGAGCCCCAGTCATTCATTAGATGGTGATGATTTCAAATGCATCATCTGCTTGTGGCTTATAGAAGAAAGGGAGGCAGGACTCTTTGCCCTCGTCTGTGGGCTCTTGCTGGGGCTGGATGGCAGGCAGCAGCGGCACAGGAGGCTCTGCAGTGGGGTTCTCCAGGGGCCCAGGCGCCCCAGCCTCTTCAGGGACAGGCTTCAAGTTTTCTTGAAGATGCACATCTTCACAGCCTTGCTGCTCCTCCCTGACCTCTGTCTTCAGGGGCACTGAGAGGTCTGAGGGGGCCTCGGCAACAGGGGCCTGGGCGGCTGCCAGCATCATGTCCTGGCACTCTGTGCTCTCCCCTATAAGGTGCAACAACAGCTCCTTCAGCTCCTTCCTCTTCCTCCTCTTCTCCTGGGACAGCTGGCTCACACACTGCTCTTTCTCCTGACACAGCTTCTCCAGGATTTCTAGCTGTTCCTTGTACAGCACGATGGTCTCTTCCATGGCGGTCAGGTGTTGGGTCAGCTGGCTGCAGCGATGGTGGAGGTCATCCACGTGACTCTGGGGGTGCCCCTTGCCGGCCAGGTCTTCAGGGAAGCAGATGTGCAGCCGCTTCTTGGGCGCCTGTGTGTCCTGCTTCCTCTTGCTGAACAGCCTGTGGATGCAGCGCTGGGGGAAGGTGGCCTGGCTCTGCAGCTTTCTCTGGCACTGGGCTGCCAGCTGACTCAGGCACCCGCAGCGGGCCTGCTGCTCCTGCAGCTGCCGGCTCATCCTCGCCTTCCTGCCTTCTGCGATGGACAGTGCATCCATGTAAAAATCCCACATGGTCTGCGGGTTCTCTACGTCCTCTGGGACAGTCACATCATGGGGAGTCGCCTCCTCACCCTTGTCTTCTTCTTGGCTCAGGCCTTCATCTTCCCTGGGGAAAGCCAGGGTGCTCAGCTGGGCCCGCAGCTGGGCATTCTCCTGTCTTGTTGCTTCCAGACACTTCAGAGTGTCCTGTAACTTCTCCCTTTCCACCTGGGCCAGCAACTTGCTCTGCACCTGCTCCTGCTTCAGCTGCTCCATCAGATGGCTCTGCTTCAGCAGGTGCTGCTGCAGGGCCTCCTTCTCTGACATCAGCTGCTGGCTGGTGGCCCTGTGCTGTTTGCAGGTGGCGCTCAGCTCCTGCACCTGGGCCAGGTACTTGTCATGCAGCTCCTGCACACCCTCAGCTGCTTGGCGCTTGAACTCAGCCACGTCTTTTCCTTCTTTGAATTCCTCCTCCAGCTCATCAAGCTTCCCCTGCAGGGTTGTCTTCTGCTGCTCTGTGTGCAGGATGCTGGCGAGCTCCCCCTTCTCAGCGCTCAGCCTCTGCAAGGCATCCTGCAGCTGGGCCAGCTCTCCTTTCAGCTGGCGGTTGTGCACCAGCGTGCGTTTCAAGGTCTCCTGTTCCTTCTCCATCGTCTCCAGGATCTTGCACCGGTACTCGGCATGCTGTGCCCATTCCTCAGCCTTCTTTTCCAGTATCCACAGCCACTGCTGCTGCTCCAGGTTCTGGAGACTGAGGCTCTGGTTGTCCTCCACCTGGAGGTGAAGTTGCTCCTCCAGGGTCTTGAGCTCCTTCTGCAACTGCAGGGTATGGGCCTGCAGCTGCTGCTCTCAGCCTGAGCTGGCCCTGCAGGTGGCTGTGGGGGCTGCAGCTCTGACAGCTGCTCTCTCAGCTCCACCAGCTTGCTCTCCAGCTCCAACACCTGCCTCACCCCTTGCTCTTTCTCCTCTCTCAGCTGGCTCACCTGCTCTAGCAGCTGCTGGACTTTCTCCTTCCCCGTGGAGCTCTCCAGCCTCAGGTCCTCCGCAAAGGTGTCTCTCTCCTCCTTTAATCTTGCCACCAACTCCTTCATGTTGTTGAGTTGGCCTTCCAACTCTGCCCGCTCCACTAGTTCCTCTTGGAACTTCTGGATTTCCATTTTCATGTCAGCCTTCTGTGTCAGGAGCACTTCTAGCCTCTCCTGCAGCTCGGTGTTCTCGTCCTCCAGGTCTTCAATACTTCTGGCCTTTTCCTGGAGCTGCAGCTTCACGCGAGTCAGGGCTTTCATGAGCTCTATGTTGTTGTTCTCAGTTTCATTCTGCGTGGTGTTGACTGCAGACAATGTTGTTTCTAGTTCTGTTACTCGTTGCTGTGCAGCCTGCAGGCAGCTGGTAAGACCCTCCTGCTCCAGTGCTCTTTCATCGGCCTCTTGCTGCTTGTGGGCCAGGGCAGATTGTAAGTCTGATTTGTCTCTAATCAGCATCTGTATCGACAGCTTGTGCTGCTCCAGCTCTGCTTTCAGGGCTTCGTGCACACAGGCCATCTTCTTATTGTCTTTCCCCCATTGGTCCTGCAACTCTTTCATTTCCTGCTTCAGTTTTTGGATCTCAATGCAGAGCTGCTGCTTTTGTATTGTGCTGGAGTCCAGGGCAAGCACCAGGTGTTGGTTGTGTCTCTCCAGGTCCTTGGTGTTATTGGGACCTGTGATGCTCTGGACCCTGGCAGCTGTGACAGTGCCCAAGGGAGGGGGAGGCTCAGGGTCTCTGTGGTCTTGGGCCGCACCCTTGAGTAAAGGATAGTCCCCAGTGGTGTTTGTCTTGGGGCTACCTCCCTCTTTCATTTTCCTCTTCTTGGATTCTGCAGGTCTAGCAGGACCATTCCTCTGCCGGTATTGTTGCAGTAGTTTCCTTCCTGCAGCTACTTTTCTTGTTCTTTTTTTCTCAGACATCCCAGCACTTGGACGGCGAAGGTGGGGGGGCCACATTCCCAGGCTGCCTAAACTCAACTCTGTTCTATCACCAGTAACTCGAATGTCTACCTCCAACTATTTCTTCAAAATCAGCTCAATTTGCTCACTCACCACTCACCACCTCTACCTCCTTCAACTCCTTTAGTGGTGTGAGCCAATAGAGGGGATCCCAGTGCTACTAGGCAGCATGGAATGTGGGCGTGGCCTCAACTCATATCCCATTGGTCAGAGAAACATGAAAATATTGGAGGTGTGGCCAGAATCTTCTCATCCAGGCAGAACTGCACCTGCAGTCCCCCCTATCTAGCCCCACCCACATGGGGCACAGTTAGGGACCAGCTCTAGCTGGGAACCTGCACAGCTCTACTTGTAACTTTACATGACCATGACCTCCATCCCACAGTTCTAGTCCCAGATGATCCTGGGAGGTCCTGTGTTGTAGACATTCATGACAAGGGCTCAGGAGGTGGCATCCCAGGATTCAGGTGGTGACTAACGAAGGGACACCAGGGACAGTGCATCCCTGTCGAGTCCCTCTCCCCATTTTACATCTTGGTTCCAAATATTTCTGTCTTAGAAATCTCTCCCTTAGGGCTAATTGGATTGGCCAAGTTCATCTTGCCCTGTAAGTTCATATCCTGTATCACCCATAATCACCTCTCTGGAGTTCACCCCATCCTTGTTCTAATCCTTTGATGCCTTCTTGTGGCTTTAAAGATGGCCTCCTGGAAATCAGTGAAACACTGCATAGTTTGCTAACAGAAGATATCTGCAAGACCTAGATTTGAACCCAGGCAATCAGAAGTCAGAGAGACTCCACCTCCAGTGAAGGAGCAAAAAGTGAAGCTGGGTGTATATGTCCAATGATAGAATTCTGGCCAAGCAAGCAATCCAAGTTAGTTCAATCCCCTGAGTTCAAGCCCTGGAATCTCTAAAATTAATCAGAAAAAAAGACAAGAAAATACTCATTTACAACTCTAAATTTAAATACGAGCAAGCTTCCATGCATCAAAACTCCTAAGATTATCCAATCCCTGGTAACTCATGCATGTAATCCTAGCTAATCAGGAGGCTGAGATCTAAGGATTGTAGTTCAAAGCCAGCCAAGGCAAGAAAGCCTGTGAGACTCTGCTCTCCAAGAAACTGACCTTCCTTGAGCGTTCGTGCACCCACGTACACACACACACACACACACACACACACACACACACACACACAAAACAGGTCAGTTATATCAACTTAAGTAATATTTTATGGGCAAAATTATATGTCTTTTCTCAAGGTGTAAGTTGAACATCAGAATAAAGTGGAACTTTGAAAACTGGTGGGATGTTAGAGGCATTGGCCTGGCAGCTGCATTGTCTCTGGAGCAGCTGAGGCCAGACAGCGCTGTCACTACCAACAGCACTGCAGACGTGTAAGTGTCTGCAGTGGAGTGAGCACTGTCCCCAAGAGGATCACAGCAACACTGTTCAAATGAGGCAACAGTGCAAGCAACAAAGAGAAATAGGAAACATAAAACTCTCCTGGCAAGTCAGGGGACGGTGGTTCATGCCTGTAATCCTAGCTATTCAGGAAGCAGAGATCTGAGGATCATGGTTCAAAGCCAGCCCAGGCAGAAAAGTCCGTGAGACTCTTATCTCCAATAAACCACTAGAAAACCAGACATAGCATTGTGGCTCAAGCGGTAGAGCACTCACCCTGAGCTGAAGAGCTGAGGGATAGCACCTAGGCCCAGAGTTCAAGCCCCATGACTCACAAAAACAAACAGCAAAAAAACTCTCTTGACATAAGGAACCTATGGAAATAAATACAAAGGGTTGAGAAATGGGTGCTTCACATTGATTTTAAATTTTTTTGTTTTACCTTGGATATGTCTATTTTTAATCCTATAAAATATTTCTATTCCATTCTATTTGTTCATCGAAAAACATAAATACTTCTTGTATAAGATTTATATATTTTAGAATTCATGGTTGTTTAAAGCTAAATCATTGTTTGTTTTTGGGTTCGGTCGTGGGGCCTGAACTCTGGGCCTGAACGCTGTCCCTCAGCTCTTCTGCTCAAGGCTAGCGCTCTACCACTTGAGCCACAGTGCCACTTTCGGCTTCTTTCTTTTTTTTGCTTATGTGGTGCTGAGGAATCGAACCCAGGGCCTCATGCATGCAAGGCAAGCAATCTACCACTGAGCCACCTTTCCAGCCCTCATTGAATGGTTTGAAGTAGGTCAGACATCTAAGTACATTCAGTATTTAATTTGTTGCAAGTGAAAATAAAGGTTAGAATGTACCTCAGTTTTCTATTTTAATGACTAAGTAAATTCAGTTTTGAATTATATTATTCACAGTAAATTTTGAAAAATGTGCAAATGAGCTTTGTAATATGACTCGTTTGCTCTTGCACATCTTTTTTAAAAAAAACACATCATAGTTGAGAAAATAAAATTTAGGTATAATTTGTAGAGAGGAGTTGGTGATTTAAAACACATTATCACCTGCTGTGTGTGTGTGCA